AGTAAATGATATGTAAATATATCTTATAATTTGATATTTTTATTGTTTGGAATGTTTTAGAGATTTTAAACTTAAATATTTCTAAATTCATATAAAATTGCAAACTATTTGTGATTAGAAAGGAAGTCAATTGGATGTAATTCTATTCCTATTTATTCTTTGCTATCATTTAATACTTTGTTTGCTTTTAATAGACTAATAGGCGGAACACGACTGATAATACAGACCAAAGTATATTAGTTTTTAAGCCAAACTTTATTTATATAACTCAAAGTCATATGAATTTTTGTATTACAGTATTTTAATTGTTTGTTTAAAAGTATTAATACATATATATATATTTTAAACAAAATATTTTGTTTTCATTTAAATGGATCAGATAATACGAAACAAATTGTGATCATTGAAGGACTGGCTAGTTTTGAAACCTGGTTAATCGGAAAACCTGAGTATTGGACATTGGTCAGTTCTTAAAGTACAAATCTTGAGCCGATCTCTCTATTTATATGGTATTCATATAAATTATTCAAATTCTTGTATAAAGCACTGTAAAAAATATTTTAAATACCAAATATTAAGAAAAAATGCATCCAATGTCTAGAAAATTGGACTCAAATTTCAATTAATCAGACATACAGTATAAGCAATAAATATTGAATAAGATGTCCAACAGAATAGATATACTGTACTTGAGTGCAGTATATTTTGTTTGTCGTATTATACAAATAATACTAAGTTTGAAAATTTCAATTAATCAGACATACAGTATAAGCAATAAATATTGAATAAGATGTCCAACAGAATAGATATACACATGAACTCACGTCATATAAAACAAACAGCATAATATGTTTATTATGATTCAAACTTCAAACTTCAAGTTTAGCTCTCAATTTTAACCATTTATTCGTTTTTAACCGCGTAATGGAAAAATTGAATTGTAAAAAATTTTCGTATGTAAAATTTACATTGTAAATGTTAGGGTATATTATGGACTCAGTATAAGATAGGCACTTTTTATATTTTGACAAAATATTAATATAAATTTAGTATTCAAAACTTATCTAATGTATGTAATAAATTTATTGAATAGGATCATTTATGATAATATATAAATAAAAATTTTATAAATGCAAATGATTCTAAAAAAGCGTACTTTATATACAGTATAAATAGATTTTCATACAGTTTTGATGTTATTCAAATGGTAAATTGTAAAAGGTAACATGTCAACTTCGATCAATCAGATTAGAACCCAAACTTAGACCGAAAATCAAAACCCTACCCTACCCTACCCTACCCTGCCCAAACCCGTGGAGTTTGAGTCCGTTCCGACCGGTACCCATCACCGGGAAATCCTCGGGTTCCCGTAAAAACCCAGTGATTTTCTTATATAAATTTTACATATAAGATATGCTTTAAACGTGCTTTATTTGTATAAAAATCAATATTTTAATAGATTTTTATTCTAATATTTATACAAATCATAATTAAAGAGAATAAACAATAATTTATCGACATTTTAAGGGTCGGGTTGAGACCGATTTCTAGTTGTATTGGTTGGGAATAACTAAAATTCCTTTCGAAGATTAGTGTCAGGAATTGAAAACAATTATTGTGAAGGCCTATAGAGTCGACGATATTTCTGTTGATTTTGTTTTAAAAGTCAAAGATTTATGAATCATATGAACAGTTATTTGCGCTTAAATTTTCAATCTTAATAAGTTATTAAAGGGTTGTTTTAGTCTACATATGTTTAAGGTTTACTGGAGTTTTACTGTGGGGGTGCTGTCCGGCCGTATAAAACTTATAATTAAGTTTAATTTATCAAAATGAAGTTGTAATTTAATAAATTATGATTATACCGCACTTTAAACTGATATACAATGCTTCACAAAATAATAATGCTAAAAATATATGCAAAATGTTCACTATCTAAAAGTGACGGGTTTTATCAGAAAAATGTCAATACCCGGCCCAACCGGACAGTCCGTGAGCCCAATCCCGTCCGAAATACAGACATATTTCCGAAATCAAAGCTGAGTTGAGAATAAAATACGTTTCCGTTTTGGAGCTCAAGATTTAATACATTTTATAATCCAATGAGTTTTCAAATGATCCAGTATATTCAAAGTACACCATTGCAATAGCAATTATATGGACACATTTGAAATGCCGTACAATAAATAAATATTTTATTACAAAAGATAACAAATGCATAAACGATAGCATCTATTGATTATTATCATTATCACTGAATATAATATTAATGGCCGCCTGAACATCACCATCAGTGGCTTCGAGGGCTTGAATGGCAACGATCTCATCATTAATACCTAAATCCCTCAACTGTTGCAACTGTGAGGCCCAACCCCGGAGTCGGGCAGCAACTGAACCGGTACTCGAACTGGTGGACGGCAGGGATGGCTCACTCGTTGGACTCGTAGTCGATGTCGACGCAGAGCTCTGAAGCGCTTGTCTTAACATATCTGCAGATAATTAAAGAGTTAATTAAGAGATAATTAAAGAGTAAACAATTCATGCCTGAAGTGATGACACCAGAACTGGTCGATGGGTTAGACCGACGACTCGAGTTCTGGTTTGATTGAAACGAGCGAATCATTGCGTCCGCGATATTGCGGGCAGTCGTCGGGTCAGCTCCTCCTCCTTCAGACTCATCCATGTCCTCGTCGTCATCGATGGAATCCAATGAGTAGTCCGGCGGTCGGGTACCGGGAGTCTCGTTGGCGATGGACTCCTCGTGAAAAGTTGCCGCCAGGAAAGTGGACGCATCCAAAAGGCACGGGTGTCGGGCCAACACGCGGTGGATATTCGTCGGTTCCGTCAACACTCCCAACAGATNACTTCCTTTCTAATCACAAATAGTTTGCAATTTTATATGAATTTAGAAATATTTAAGTTTAAAATCTCTAAAACATTCCAAACAATAAAAATATCAAATTATAAGATATATTTACATATCATTTACTTTTTTGGCTAAGAATTGCAAATGTTCTCAATTATCAGATCCCGGGAAATAAAGGGAGACATTACAGCCTAACTGTATAACTACTAACAAATTAGCAAAATTCATAAGCTATACCTGAGTTCACTTGATATATATTTTATCATAGGTTACTATTTCGGGGTTTGACCAATTATTATTGTTATTTTTTTGCATAAACATAAATTGCAGACTTTATATAAATAAACAATTTGTTGCAATTATTAATTCAGTAAATTCATATTATAAGTCACGCATCTAACTATTCATATATATTAACAATATTGTTTAAAATATTTCTACAGTGTCCAGGGTTATTATTTATATAAATTTATAAAGAATCTTTAGAGAATCATAAAATTTAGAAATAAATATTCACTAATCTTTAATTAATTAAATAGGGTTTTAATTATTTAATATAATATTATTTAGGGCAACGGAAATGTGTTAACATTTTAGGATTTGTTTGAGCTTTTAATCCCAGATAAATGTTTATATATAAGGTGTTTAAGCATAAGAAAAGTTAGTCTTTTTTGCAGATCTCATATCAAATGACAGTTTCTTTTGGTTGTATTAAATCAGAACAGAGAGTAAGAGATGACTAAAATGGTGTAGTATTTCAAAGGAGTAGTCATTACGATCTCGTATTACAGACATCAGTAAAGTAGAGCCCGTGTTGGGTCTGAGCTACCAGTGCTCACTCGTTATTAATCATGTGCTCCTGAACATTGAGTCCATACAGTTCTATGAGATACTGTGCTGTACATCGAATTCAACAAAAGTTCTCTCTCTCTCTTTCTCTCTCTCTCTCACTCACTCTCTCTCTCTCTCTTTCTCTCTCTCCGCCGACTGTCTCAACGTTAGAGTATGAGCGGAGAGTGGCATCAAATTACAGCCTATATTCTCATATTCTGTTTCGCAATCCTTATTGAAATAATTTTCAACGAATATATCGAGCGACTAATCATTAAAAGCAAAACATTTCATCTAAACGTTATGACCGCAAATGAAAGCCAGATATAAGGTTATATTACACAACAAATCCAATGAATGATACAAAATATTCAAATAATCAATAATCAATTGTCTTCACAAACACATTCTTCCTAATAGAGTTGTCATGAATAGACTCATCAATTAATTGCCAAACAATTAAAGACTGATTGTGTTTATTAGTGACAATGTTTTGAAATTAATTATTTTCTATTTCTATAACTGTAGATTAGAAAATATTAATGCAATTATTAATATAATAATTATATTGCTTAAGAATTGTTAAGAATAAAATTTTTTAAGAAAATATTCTTAAATCCGTATAAAATTGTGATAATAATGACTTGAATGTTGTTTAGAAATTGTTGAAAATATAGTGCAATACAAGACTAAACGTCCCGTCACTAGAATTTGAAATGAAAATACATAAATTGCAATTACGAGTACAATCATACAATGAAACAGACTTTTATTATTAAAACAAAATTTTTATTCATTTGTATAAATTTTCCAGACGTTTACAGCTTTTATAGTTATAATAATGTCTGCCTTATTATTCGCATAAAATTTTTAACTCTTAATTATTTGCAAACAAAACATGAATTATTTACAGTCAATGATCGCCACTCGGATACTAATAGAGAGTAGTGCTCGGCATAAGTCTTGGAAAAGAGTGAGTGTAGGCAGGGAGGACAGGGAGGACAGGGAGGGAGAAGTGGGAGAATAGGGCACAAAAGTAGGAGCGATGGGTTGGGGACAACAGACCGACAACAACTGGCTTTTGATTGTGTGTCCCAATGGGACCTATTACTGACCTAATCTATATAATAGATTATTTTTATCCATAATTTTCTGACATTTCCAGATCTGATTACACAAAATGTTTCATAAATATCTTACTATAACTGACTGTTGGACTTTGCAATTGATTTGTTAATATTATACGGCATTGTATTCATTGCGTAAAGTTTATGAATTAGTTTATAGTCTTTATAATAGAGTTATGAATTGCAAAGCTCTATAACACTGACCGAAGATGTTTTAAAAGATATCTAATATATCACTGAAATAGGGTTTGCCTACAAATTATTTCCATTGAATTCTATTGAAAAGAATATGTCATTTAATTTGAAAGAATATGTCATATCGTACTCTCATTTCCCAATTGAAATTCATATCATATCGAAAATTCAAATATTATTTATATATCAAAATATTTAAAATTTTCTTGTAATTTAAATGCATTTTAATTACCATGATGATTAATTGGCAGCCAACGTATTGTAATTTATATAATAATGATCGGGTGTCATGTTATGGTGACCAGAGTGTAGGTGCGAGTGATGGACCTCATTCTTGACCATCGTTTCAGGCACTACTAACTGAGACAAATGGGAACGACTGCATGACTGGTGCATCACTGGTGAAGGGGTTGATGTGGTCGATGAGGTGACTGTTGTCGAGCGCCGAGTAGGTGCAGAGTGATGGCCACCACTTGTATGACTTATTAGTGGTATTTGTCTGTTGTATTCAATTTAATCATTCATTCAATTTCATACATTTAGTTCATTAGTACAGCACAATAAATATATAGATTCAAAATTTGCAATCATGTATCCTGTATTGAATTGAGTCAAATTTCATCGTTTTCTAATTGAATACTAGTATCAACTCTCAAATTAAATTTGAATGCCGACAGTCTCAACAAGTGTTTAGCTTTTGCTTTGAGATTTTAATGAGTTTTAACCAAGTTTCTAGAATTAAATTGAGTACCAATAGACAGAGTAAAAGAAAATTTATTTTCTTAAAATAATTGAATTAAAAAAAGCCTTAGTTTTGGTACAACAAACAAATTGACATATACTGGATGTAGTATATAAGAATGTAAGAAATTTGAAGTAATACATTAAGAATATTCTGATCTGTAAACAAACCCATAATAAGGTTATTTGCATTTTATCTAAGAGTTTTATAATTTTGCTCAAATTGGTTATAAGTTATAACTTATATTGTAAAGGAAGTTATACAGTAGCTAGAATATTACTAAAAATAGCTAAATATTTATCGAGGATCTATTTTGAACTACTGAATGACAATATGTTGTGAATGTATTTCAAAACATTATGAAAACAATTGAGAGATACCTTTCAAATACAGAAATTGTGTATTTATTTTTAGTACAAATTTGCAAATTAGGCTCAAATATAGTTTAAAGCATTCATTGATGTGAAGCAAAGCAAGGGATCAGTTGGAAGGGAATGATATGACACTGAAAGTGGTGGTACAGTAACATAAGTGGCCGCTATTGCCAGTATTAGATGTACGAGTGGTATGAGATGTCCCTGAATAAGGCACTTAACAAATGAACGATTGGTTCAATACTAAGAAGAAGCCGCACAACACAACATGTGTTTGTTATTTATACAGAATATACTAATCAATGGACAGCACTGGCACTCAATTCATACATTCATACGAGAATGCGTTCACTAAAAACAGTTGAAATAGATTTGCAACTTTTCAGGCTAACTGTTGGCTCATTTAGCTCTCAAAACACTAAACATTGAAATATTTTTAAGTTACTAATTCTAACTAAATGTGTGTTAAATGTTTGTGTTTGCGTTATGTAGAAAATATTTGATCAAAAATGTAAAGAATTTCCATTCAAACCTTTGTATGACTTCATTGGTTGGCGTTCTGTCTCGTTGTCGTCTATTCTTAAACCAATTGCTCACTGTTTATGTAAATTGTCATAAAATTGTCATAAGAAATGGTCATCAAATTGAATACATAATGTGCACAATGAGTCATATGAAGGAACGGTATATACCTTGAGTGGGTGTCAGACCCGTTAAATGAGATAATTTTTTCTTCTCTTCAGGCGTCGGATATTTTCCTGTTTTATAGCATTCTTTGAGGGCATCTCTGGACCTCTCTTTGAAGCAATAGACATAGTTTTCTCCGTCCCATATGGTCAGAGGGAATGGGAATTTCTTGCGAATCCTATAGAGATATACAAAAAAGTGGTCAACACTTGAACAATGAGTCTAAACATGTCTAAAACGGTGAGACCTGTATTTGTCAACCGCACCGAGAGCTCGGTTCCTAGTGTTGGCCAGTTCTTGGTAGTGGGCGTTGTTCCACAACTCCTGCATCTCTTTGTGGTGCTCTTGACTGAAGTTATGTGACTCTAGGATACGATAGAGTTCTTTGAACTGTCCGTTGTTGAAGGCGACGGCAGCCCTGGCCCGCAGTACGTCCTCATTGCGCATCATTGGATGGTTTTGGGGCACATTTCGGGTGATTTCCTGCAACTTATTGTTGTCGGACGACTGTTGCAGTGCTTTACACACACAGGCGTACTGTGAGGGTGAGTACCCCATGATCCGCACGTCCGTCTCCTCAATCGAGGCCTCCACTCGGGAATGTCGGGACTGACCGGTCGTTGCATTGTTGCCGTTCAGCAGATAATTACCATTCGTTACACAATTCTTGAGGGACACGTTGGCACTGGTTTGGAGCTCTTCGTATTCTGTGGAAACTGATACGGGATTTAATATGATGTGATCTCCAGTTCCCAACTCAGGGCTATAATAACGAAGAGTACGATTGGATTCCTTATAGTTATGGATCTGTGAAGCGATTCCTCCGTTCATATCACCACTTATGGGAGAGTTTGGTATCAGAGCTGACATTTCAAACTGACAGCTCGCATGTGATGGGTTGGAGGATATGCTAAGATCTTGGACTTCACTTTGATCTTCACTCTTGTGCTCCATTTACTCTTAAATCACTTTTCATTACAAAACCTTTTTATGAAAAAACTTATGAAAAATTTAAAATATTTGTTATGTGTTGCTATCGAGTAGTAATAATAAGTGAAATAATATGCTATTAATTGGCATCGCTTTTCGTATCAGGACTTCAGTATAATAGCAAAGTAACCAAAGAGAGAGCACAGCATTTGGAAACGTTTTATGGATGTATGGATCGCCTATTGGTTGGCCGTCCATATGGCGGAGCCTCATCTCTACGCAGACTTCTTGTCGACTCCGGTTTTATTGAAGGGATTGTAAGCTTTTAATATTAGCTCAAAGTTTGGTCGTATTGTCGCACCTATTCATTATGGGATGAAGTGTTTGTCATTGCATTCGTTGCACATTTGCTTCCCTTTTGTTAATATTTTAAATATTATACTCTTATATACACCTCTCATACGGTGTTATTGTGTAAAAGCTTACGCTTCCAACTGTTGGAAAAACATGCATTCAATGGACAACTGAATTGTATTTTTGGCTGTATTTTGGCTGCCAAACCATTTACACACAAATTATATGTTAAACGTCTATAGACTTAAAGGCCTTAAACTGTATTCTAAAGACTACTCTCAATTGAGTCTCAACTATAATAATTGGCATAAAAATGTGCACTTCTTTACGAAATGCTTTTATAGCACTTAAACAGCGTTCACTTCAATACATTTCAATACAATTTGCTTTAAACACGTTTTATTTATAATATATAATTTTTTTAGTAATTATATTTATACCCATTTATAACACATTAATTATTTCAATGAATAATTGTTTGCTTACAACTCTATTATAAATATTTAAAAAATTTAAAAAATGCATTATAAATTACATAATTAGCTAGCATGTAAACTGTGGTTGGGTACTAATTTGTAATTATAAATTGGTGTTTATACAGCAAATAATTAATCTTAAATATATAAAATTCATGTTATTTATATTATGATAAATCTCATCAATAGAATTCTAACCAAAAATTAAATTAATTTAAAATTTACAAAAAGTCAGCAAGTTAACCTTCCAAATTTACCCTAGTAACTTTAGACTTAACTGTTTATTTCAAACTTGTTATTACTAAAAGCAATTTAAAATTTACTATAATATAAGAATAATTTAAAGTTTTAAGACTTATCAAATGTAACAATGACATGTATTCATTGTGAAACATATAAAATTTGAAGTTTTTAAATTTATAATTACAAGTAGTTTTCTAATTGAAAATGTACATGGTTCAATATTACCCAAAGATTCTGAGCTATTTACAGAATTCCTTATTTCTATTGGCATTCAAGATGTGAGACAAAACAAGTGTATGCGACCATCAACACCGATAATTTATCTCTTTTCATAAGTCATCCCAATTAAAGCCTTCCTTTGAGAGACCTTTCAAGTGATCCTTCTTTTGTTCGGTAGTCTTCTTGTGAGTATTGAATCCAATGCGCTGTTTGTTGAGTCTATTCATAAGCACGTGTGTCGACCAACACAACTGTCCC